TAAGATATGAAGGACGAGATAACCTGCTCCCTTGTGGCTTTGAGTCTTCCAGTTCTCTAGTGTTAGAAGATAAGAAATATCTAAAACTTTTCTTGCTTTTGAGCTCTTTCTACTCTCCATGTTAATTTTTTTTTGTTGCTCTCACAGCTGATTACATAAATGCTGCTTTCTCCTCTTAATGGGACCAGAAATGGGTTTTGGCTCATTTTATAGAATTTGTTCAGGACTCAAGATCTTGTCAGTTGTAGCTGAAAGTAGCCAGTAGGTCCAAACAAGGGGCCCAACGGGAGGGGAATTGTCTGATATTTGCAGTGCTTCAGGCCTTATTTCCCCAGATTGCCAGTTCTAAACAACTTGAGTAAGACTTATTTTGGTTTTGCTATAGTTCAGCTTAGATATCTAAACCACTTATAAATCTCACCAAGTTAAGAGTATACCCAGGTAGCTGGTGCAAATATCTTGTAGAATTCTGTTAGCTAATTTAAAGTAATGAGACTAGGTTGAACCATTGCCTAATACTTGATTTATTGCTCGTGCAGTAATGACTAAAATGTTGGTTAGGTCATTGCCCATTGTTTCTCCACAAAACAGTGAATTTATCTCAAAGAACAAGAAGTTAAATTTTCCTTACATGCAAGATGCATTTTTTAGTATATTTCCAAATGTTATGCTCAGAAAGTGGGAAAGTGAACACAAATCCCTTTTAAAAAGGGTTCTTTATGGTTGTTTGGTTTTTTTTTTTTGCTACAAGCCTAAAATAGAGAATTTGGAAACATGGTGAGAAATTGAAAATAACTTTGTGAAATATTTTGAGGATGTATGTTAACTTATTTAAGGGGATACTTAAAATGTTAATGATTCATTAAAGTTCTTCTGAATACTACACTGTAACATTTCACATGGAATGATTTGGAAGTGTATGAGATAGATTACAATTCTGATCAGCTGCAGACTAGATTCAAACATCGCCATTAATCCTGTAGTCTTAACAACAAAACAGTAAAGACCTGTTCTTTCTAAACTTTCTTACACCTTTTCTAAACTTTCTTTAGCTTTGTAGGTCCTTACCAATTATTTTTGAGTGCTGTGTGTATAATGTCTTTTCTTTTAAAGTTAAGAGTACAGATACTTCATTTTCATTGCTAACACTTCTCTGCTTTTTTTATCCTTACTTTAGAGATGCTAATGGGCAAAAAAACCCAAACACCAAAACAATTCAGAAACCCTGTTTATGTTTAGACTTCAGGTCTGTTATGTTACTTGCGTTATTTCAAAGTGTAGGTGATTTATTTTCAGCTATAAATTTTCTTTTTGAATAATGACAGTCTTTGAATGTCAGCAGTTTTGTATAGTAAATTTGCCAGTATTTAAGAATAAAAGTTTGATTTCCGTAGCAAACAATTACTTGGTATTTCAATTTCCACCAGATTTCTGTTGTTTGGGGTAAAGGCCAGGAACATCCTTTTTTAAAATTTCTGTTAAAATACCTGGAAATTTTTTTAACCTGGTATGTGATACAGAATTCCACCCCCCAACACCCCCGGCTTGTCTTAAATGCAATTTTTTAGTTTTGCCTCCAGATCTAGCAGCTTTTATTTGCAGAGGATCAAATTCAACAGGCTTGTCAAAAAAAACCCAAACCAAAACAACCAACCAATTCTGTTACTCAGTTGTTGAATCAATAGCCCTATGATGGTAGAGAAGATTATTCGATCAAGAGAAGTAGGTCTAAAGAAGTCAAAACATCTAAACCAAAGATTTGTTTGTCATATCACAGATGAAGGGCGCTTTTTTTTTTAATCTGGTCTCTCTCCAGCCATCATCTGCTTAGAGACATGTCATTTCTCAGTGATTGTGGGAGTCCTAAGCATGTGAATATCCAGAAGTGTGTGGACAAGAGAAAGCTGTTTGATACAGCCTCTTGGGATTTCCAAGAGACATGAAGTAAATTTCTTTTATGGAAGATTTTGAAAGAAACTAAGTGGAAGATATGTATCCTCCTGTACACAATTCACTAGTTAGAAGATGAGAAACAGAGATTCAATTTTTGTAGTAAATGGAGTTCACCAGGAGAGCCCTGCAGGAGTTTGTGCTGGGCCTCATGCTGCCTGACATCTGAAAGGCAATGGATGAAGTGTGGTGAAGTTTGCTCGTGGTGTTAAGGGCCAGCTGAGAAGGGGTGCAGAGGGACCTTTCAAGGCGATGCATCAGGAGGGAGAGAAATACATTAAACTTGGTAGAGAGTGGTAGGCCCTGGGCTGACAGTTTCTTGCAAAGATAAGATCTTGACGTTTTTGCAGAAAACTGCTTTGATAATGCTTTCTTGATTTCCTACTGAGAATTGCATGTCAAACCACGTTTCAGACATTATTAGGAATAAAGAACAGAAATGAAAACATCATGTAAAAATCCATGTACATCCACCATCATGAACAGTGAGTGCAATTTTGCCTCCTACATCAGAAGAAAGTTATAATACAAATGGAAGAAGAATAGGGAAGGATGGTAACAGTGGTCAAACATACGGAATTGCTTCTGTGTGAAGAATGAGTGATTCTTTCACCTGGAGAAGAAAACGAGGAGGTGTATGATCGAGGTCTGTGTGTCATCACCAGTATCTGGAAAAGTCAGAGCAGAATGACAAGATAGAAATTACTTAAAGAACTGAAAAATCATCAGATAGTAGGTTCAAATTAAACACAATGCTCATTTAAGCTGTGACATGCCAAGGATGCAAGATGCTAAAAGCTTAAGGCTTCAAAAATCTGAACAAGCTAGGGAACAATATCAAGTTGAGAACTAGTAAATATAAAGACATAACCTCTAATTGAAGAGGTCCCTGAGTCAACTTCCTTAAGCACCTCCTCTTAGCTGACGAGTCGTAAGACAGATGGATTCAGATTCTGCTCTGATAGTTTGACAGTCTTTATTTTGATGGCCTAAAAAACAATGCAAAATGCTTCATGACAAGCTAGAGATCACTTTCTGGCTAACTTAATAATTCTTTGGAAGTTGTGATTACCTTTTGAGCAAACAAGTGATATGACTTCTAGGATACAAGTAGATAGGCTTAATTGTCATAATTGCTGTGGTGCTTGTCTGATACTGTGGTGAACTGCCTTCCTGCCCTCAGTAGTTTTCTTTTTTTGCTGAATCCTCAAATTGAGGATGAGGTTGCCAGATTTTTCACACTTCTAGCTGAAGAGGATATGCTTGCTGATACTTTTGTTCTGATTCTACAGTAGCAAAACTTCAGTTTTCCTCTGTCTTTTTTTCAGCACATAGTTGAGGGTAACTGTAATGACTGGTTGTTTTTAGTGTTTTGAGTGTTGAAGGATCATTTTTGTTGTTTTGACCTCATTTAATGTAGATGCTTAATTGTCTGCTTATATAATTGAGAGTCAGATGTACACTTATTGAACTAGAAAACTTTGCGCAAGAATGTGACAAGATGGTGTGTTTGCTTGAAGGACCACTTGCCAAAAATGTAAACATATTCTAATTTTTTTTTTTAGTTTCATGTTGTTGACTTGCATAAATAGCTTCTGGTAGATGTTTTAGCAACATGTCAATAATGTTTGGGTAATTGTGTCTCAAGAATGAGGGATTCTCAGCTTGTATTCCCTTTTTCTCTTTGTCCTTGAATATTTTACCATTGGTAGTCTGAGGATAACACTTAACATGTCTGTCTTGGGTGTCTAGAAGTTGCATGTTGAAGGTTGATTAGGTTGCTGTAGGACATGCTTCACAAATTAAAAAACAGTTTAAGGTTGGTTTGTTTTTTTTTTTTACCACTTGGCAGTTAACTTTATTCTTCAATACTAGTCTTCACCAGTTTGCTTCTCAGGATGCTTAGTGTCTCTTCTAATTATAATTTGACAGTAAAATGTTGTTTATGGAATTATGACTTCAATAACTGTTCTGGTTTTGTGCACACAACTGTAATGATGGCTTGATGTTCTCATATTTCTTTCTGCTCCAAACTTGTTTGGAAATATAGGTTAGTAAAGTAGCTGCAGATATTTCATATTCTAAGCAGTTGCCTCAAATGTTAGCTTTGTGGTGTTCTGTTTAACCACTTACAGTGGACAAAATGATGTATTAGCTTTTGTTAAAGGCAGTCACTTGTTTGTCTTAAAGTTATTGCTGTCAGACATCAGAAAAGGTTGCTTGCATTGAAGTTATCAGTATTTGGGAAGTCTGTTTCAATTTCATCTTTTGAATCTCTTGTACCTATTTTAAATACATACACGTTAAACCAGCTTACTGTATGCCATTAAGTGATAGGGACGCCTGTACTAGCTTATGGTGTAGTAGATTTACTCAGGCTGCCACTAAACCTTTTTGGCAGTTTCTGTTCAAAGTTATTGGAGATTCCCCCCCAAGAAAGTGTCATGCTGTGTTCCTGATCATTTAATTGTTGTGCCTTGATCTGGATGTGAGGTACGGTCCAGGAGCCGTGTAGCCCTATGATCAGACAGTAGGACTTACAGGCTCCTTAGAAGCCATAGCTAGTTTACCTGTGGTTGAGTGAGATTATGGGCAGAGCAGACTTGTGCTTTGTATGTATCAGCTCGTATGATCACACTCTTATATTTCTCCATGATGTTTCTGAAAGTCTTATTATCTCACTTGGTCATGCTCTTGCTCAGATCCTGTAAAATAGACACGACTGTCACAATTAGTATTTAACGTGGAAGGTCTCTGTTTTTATAAGGGTGTTGCATAGTGAGTGTATTTCATACTGAAATCCAAGGGTTTTAAGGACGCTTTGAAATCTACACCATTTCATTTGCAGTACATTTATTTCAGAAAACACTTCTTAAGCTATTAGTGCCATTGGACTTGCACAGCTAAAATTAGACAAGCATGAAAAGACCAGTTGCTTCAAGCAGTGTTCTGTGGGAATGACTTGTATGTTGAGGAAATACCACTGGTAATATGTGCTTTGTTTCAGTTGTTTGTATGCCTAAACTGAGTGCTTATCTTGTGTTTTTTAGCAGCACAGCGGAATGAAGTTTTCCATGAAAGGGACTCATAACCAAGGCAACAGCTACAGCCCCGTCAGCAGTGGAGGGATGAGGCAACCAGTTGGTAACCGAGGACACCACCAGTACAATCGTAACATATGGAGAAGAAAAAAACACAGAGACAGTTTGCCTATTAGTCTGAGCAGATAATGGCAGATGCCAAAATGACCTTCCCTGTTCAGACAAACTGAGTGAGTGCCACTCAACCTGAGGGATGGAGACCAGCGTCCAGCACATCGTTTTATTGGTGTTGCCAAATATCTGCAGCTGACTTCTTTGCATGTTTCTTTGTGTGGTGGTTCAGTCCATCTTCAAGAAGTAGTTGTGCTTATCTGTGAAGCCTTATTAAATGTGGAAGTTTGTTTTCTGCCTTCCCACAACGGTTCATACAGTGCCGAAGCAGCTCTGACAATAGAACTGCAAGGACATTTACAAATGCTGTGGCTACATCTGTTCCTTTGTGGGTTCTGTTTTCTTTTATTTTAGAAGTGAAGGAAACTTCAGCCCCTTGGAATTTCTTTTTCTTTGCAGCAAATCAAGTTGGGAATTCATAAAAGTAAATTTGCTGCTCTCCTGTTTTTGTTTCAAAGTTCAGAATTTTTTGCTCTGTAAATATTGGAAGTATAATTTGTGCAATAACTTGGAATTTTTAATTTAATTTCATATTGTCACATAAGTTATATTTAAGGGGAAGAGGTTTTTTAATTTACAGATCCTTTCCCAGGTTGCATTATCTAAGTTGGGTTCATAGTTTTGGCAGGTTGTCTGAGCAGTGTTACAAACATGACATTTGGTAATATTTGAGGCTTCTCGATTCACAATGAAAGTCCGATTTGGCTTGCGGTTTTAAGAAGGTATTAAGCTCCAAAGCATTTTGACCCTGTGTTTTTTAGCTCATTGTCTGGCCTCTATCAGTCGTCTTGCTCTGACCAATGAGTTTTAATTTTATTCCTTTAACTAGACAACAAATCCAGCATTTGTAGTATCGGAAGTAAAACTTTTGAAAGGGAGGGGAAAAAGGTTGGTGCAAGTCCTGATGTGAAATTAAAAAGCTGTGAACTACACGCTTTGATGCATTTTTAGTAACGTAACCTGTTAATGTTTGGGTTCAAACAACATTATTAAACAGAGGTACCCGGCTTAAGGAATGTGGAGAAAGGAAATATGTTGATTCCATTAAGGAATCTGTATAGCAGTATGCATTAGTTCTGTTAAGAGCAAATATATAAAAAGTACTTCAGCTGCTCTAAGCATTACGAGAAGTATCTTTTAATGTATTGCAGGAGAGCACAGCCCAGTGTTGTACACAGTATGAGTGGCTGGCACTTAATTTACAGATGCATACAGGTATACTATGCAAGTGTGTATTGCCATGACAAACACTGTCTTTAACTTTTTGAAAAATGTACATCCTGCCTAACCCTGAGTTTTTAAAGCACCACAGTTGTCCTGGGAGTAGGTCACATCTCACGCCCTCTGACTTGCCCTTTTTTTTTTAAAGAGAGTTCTTAAGCTATACAGAAAACTACAGATCAGTTATATAAGTCCACTAGCAGAGAAAGCTGAAGAATCCTGTTAACAGGACATCTATACTGTGTACAGATACAGAAGGTTTTAAAACTGGTATCTGAATATTAAAATGAGGTGTCAAGCATGAAGCTTTTTAATATGCTGTATGCCTTTGAAGCAGAAGTAGTTCATGTTATTACTGAATCTGTCAAACACAAACAGGTCCTTGGGGGAGAGAGGGCAACATTCCAAAGTAGAGTAGTGCATATCTGTTTGCAAAAAAGTTTGTCTTAATGCTCCAGACTCATCACAATTTAAAAAAAAAAAAAGTTTTAAAAATTGTGAGCTGATTCATAAATAATATCTAAGGGCTGTTACATGAGCCTGTACAGCTTAGTCTTCACACACTAGCAATATTGAGCATAACTACATTAAAGAGCCTTCAAAGGCTTTAGTTGGTGTCTTATACTAGCGTCCATTTTAAAGCAAAACTCATTTGAAAAGTGGTATCATGTAACACTTCAGTCATGGTGAACCAAATAAATTGGCCTGGCTATCACTGTGGTTATGTGCTACAGGTTTAAAAAAAATCATGTTTAAATTTTTTGTGTGGACAACTATGTGGAAGCTAAAATTGACATATTTTTATGTAAAGTTTTCTATTCTTTGATTTTTAATAAACTTTGGAGACCAGTCACTTTTTTGTACCTTTTTATGGGAAATGTAATGGCTGAAGTAATATTTGACCTTATCCTATTGTTTGACGTACACTTTGAACATCTGCTTTAAATTGTTCATGCCAGACACCTTCAGAATGAGCCTGGAAGGTGGATGGATGCCCTCTGCAAACATTTCTGACGTGTTTATAAAGGGAGTAATGAATACTGCTGTTGGTTTCGTAGTTGTGGATTTGATTCCTTGATAATAAGAGAGAGCGAAGGAGCTGGAGGTAGTTCCCAAAAATATTCTTAAACGAGGAGATTGACTAACTGATCCCTTGGGATACCTTAACTTTTCATATAATTTTTTAGTCTCTCCCTGTAGTTTTTAACTGCCTTTTAAAATCATTGTCCAGTGTTTAGTCTCCTCAAAGATTGGATGTACTTTGTCTTTTTTGTTGATTTCTGTTAACACTCTGAGAGGACTCTGAAATGTCAATAACTGACTCAAAATCAAAATTTCAGAAATTGCATCTTTGGAAGGAACTTGTTTAAATCCATGAACTCCAAGAAAAGGAACTTGAAGTATTTTTATAGACAGTAATACAGGGCTAGGGATTCAGAGGCAGAGGTGTCTGTGGTACTCGGTCAGTCTTAGAGAGTATCTCCTGGAGAAAAACAGGGCAGTGGTGGGAAGGGAAAATAATAAACACTCAGTAATGTTTATCAATATGGTGATAGTGCTTTATATATATAAATACATTTATATTTATATATAACAATTTTTTTTCTGTCATGGTCAGTTAGCCAGTGGGACACAGCTGACAGAGGGATATATAATCTCTGCAGACACAAAGATTTAGTGCAGCAGCATTGGTCTTGGAACTTCAGTTTTCCTGGGCTCCACCTTTTCCCTTTTCCTGTCTAGATGATGACTTTGCTTTATTCTTCCCACAGATTCTGCCCACCTATTTATTGTTGTTAGTCTCCTGTTAGTGCACTGGGACTCTCACTGTGTTCCTTTGAACCCTTGTTCTCTGATAATAATCTCAGATACCCACCTGATCTGTTTCCCAGCCCTACTGACTATTTTGTGCACTGTTCATAGGCAAAAATTAGTCATGGACTTTAGATGTGGAAGGAAAGGACTGCAAATTGAATGGATGAACGGGACCTACAGAGTACATTGTAGAAAGAGCTCAGTTGCTATCTGTTGCCATTTCCAAGAGATGTCAATGCTGGTGTTGCACTGGACTTTTCCTCTGACTCCATCTCCCCGTGCACTGAGGCAGGGTAAGAAGACAGAGATGTGACTGCTGTGAACCAGTGTTGCTGGGTTAGCAGTGTTTTTTTTCCGGGGAATGGCTGGGGGGCAGGAT